TACAGCACAGGGAAAAGATGAGAGAACTGGGAAAAACCAAGTTGGAAAACATACCAGGATTATTGTCACGGAAAGTGCAGAAGAAAATGTCCTGGAAACCTCAGATAACTCCTGCTCTGACTCCAGCAATGAAGGCCATCGGGTCCATAAAAAAGCTACAAAAGAGACTGTAGTAGACAGCACTGCAAGCAGTGAAGAGAAGAGCAGTTCTTCAGAGGAAGATGGCATCAGTGAGAAAGAAGACGTGCTCAAAGATCTTCCTGTGGCTAAAGGAAAAGGCCACAAGAAACTGCTTCATGAAAGCAATGAGCAGGTGACCAGAGATGGATGGAATGAATCTGGGGATGAAGGCACTGACTTTGCAGGATTGGAGGCAGAGGAGAAAATGAAGAAAGACAACATGCCAAGACAACCAAAATCTATTCTAGCTGAGAGCGGTGAGGAAGATGATGATGTAAGTATTTCAGGATCCCAACTTGAAAGTCTCAGGAACAGAGAAAATGGCAATAATGAAGTAGGCAAGGAAAATATAGTAGAAAATAACCAAGTTCAAGATAGGTCAAAAGATGCACATGATAATTCTGACAGCAATGGAGAGAATAGCAATGAAGAGAGCATTGACAAAGAAAAAGAAAATGCAACAAAACAACTACTATCTAGTGCTGTGAAAGCAGAACTCCACGTTTGCCGTAGCAAAGTACTTCAAGGATCGGAACAGGAAGAGAATGTGAATGATGGAGGCAGTGCACTGGAAGACAACCCTTTGCTCTCCAAGCAGCAGATGACATTGAAAGAGAAATCAAGAAGGTGTGAGACTGCAGAGCAAGGTACAGTGGTAGGACATATACAGAGGGACAGTTCTTCAGACTGCAGCAAGCAGGAGTTAGCAGTGATGATGCTTACAAAGAAATGCTCTTCTCAATCCCAAATCCTTCTCAATCTGAAAAAGAAACATAAAAATGCTGAGACCAAATTATTAACAAGCTGTAAACCAAATCCTGTCCAGATGGCTTTGGAAACCAACTCTGACCTGAAAAATGTTGAAAGCATCTGTTCAAAACCCACGACTGTAGAAACCCTGAGTATACAGAAAAAAACCAACATAGCTCAGAGTTCTGGAGAGAAAAGATTAAATATTTTAAGCTGCTCCACTATTACAAAAAAATCATCTGATAAGCAGCTCCTTGGCAAGAAGAGGAAAGTTATAAAAGTTATTGGAAAAGTTAAACTGGATGCAGGCCAGAATTTAGAGGCAAAAAAAGAAAAAGCAGAAGAAGTGGCTGCAGAGGCACCTTCTGAAAAAGAAAATGTGCATGATGGGAAGGGATCAGAGTACTTGCACACCCATTCTTTTAGAAAGGTCACCAGCTGGCTCAGTCAAAAACCTGCCAAGAAAACAAACCTGAAAGCTCGTCTTCTGAGTGTGGCACATGCAATTGGTATTTCAAGATGGCTCTTGAATAAATTTGGGAAGAGGAAGAGCAGCAGCAAACCTTCTGGATTCAGAAGCAGAATGGCAATCCGGATTGTAAGCACTGCTGGGTGGGTTGGTCGGTCTGGCAAAGCCTTCCCTGGTACAGCTGGACAGCCAGGGAGGGCTGAGTTGAGTGACAAAGAATCTTCTCCTGCATTAGTGGAGGGGAAAGGTGGTCCTAAAATGGCAGATGAAGTGGGACATACTGATTTTCCTTCTAGTGATTCCCCTCTTCATGAAACCAGTTCCTTTCCACACATACTTAGCTTGGATGAGGAGAAGAAAAATGCTGCTGATGCCAAGTTTGCTATAATATTCCCCAGAGTCCACAACATGGTTAAGACAAAGAGCTCCTTATCCAGGGGCTCTGGGAATGGTTATTCCCTAGAGAAACTGTGGCCTCTATCAGACAGAAAATCTGTGATGCCTGTGCAACAGGCTTGCAGATCCAAATGTGACCTACATAGATCTGTGATGGATCAAAGCCCTCAGAGAAACAATGAATGGGGCTTCCTTCCACATCGAGAAGAGGATCCAATACGTACATCAGATTATTCCAGTGAGGTAGATGTCAAAGAGGGTTCAGGTGTCCTCCAGACTGCAGGGTCCATGGTCACACCTTGTGTTCACTGGTCTCAGCAGCAGTCTCAGGGATGTGATCCTGCAGCATGGCTGAACTCTGAATTGCTGCTGCCACGACTAACCATTGAGAACCTAAGCAAGTGGGCCATCTACAGGGACCCACATCTGGCCAATAGTCATGTGTTGAAGGTCTGCAAGGATCAGTGGGAGGCAGAAGACATCACTGACAATATGCTGAAAATGGATTTCATGCAGAAACAGGTACAGGTGTTGTCTCCAGTATTGGAATGAAGCTGAACTTCTCCTGATTTTCAGTAATATATCTATGCATTTCAGGTGTACGTGTGGGAAGATCACTGTGTAGAAGCTGAGGAGATTGAAGATCTAACCAGACTGGAGTATGTCTTGTCAGCGGTATTCTGCAGCTAATTAAAGCTCACAGGGATTTGCTTGTTATCCTTCAAAGCTACTGTTGGCTCAGTGACAGAAAGCATGTTATAGATCCTTGGTCATCATATGAGAACATAGAATTAATTTCATGCATATCATAGCTGAGTAACTGATGCTCCTCAGTAAAGTGAAGTAAAAGGCTGAATTGCACTATCTAAGTTACAGACCTGCAGTGAAACAGATGGGGAGGAGCACCACTGCGCAGGGAACTCCTGACTCTGTTGTGTAGCGTGTGTCCCCAAGCTCTGCTGCAGAGAGTGCAGTCGCACACCAGAGAGAGCAGCTCATCCTAGTTAGCAGAATTTCTTACTGATGTGTCTGGGGAACTCTGCCTCTCCTATTAAATGTTTCCCAGTCCTGAGATGAGTTACAAACAAACATAAATATAAAATTTATGAATAGGGAGAATGGGATTTAGAGGGCGATGTGACTTTTGTGATGTTGCAGAGGGACAGAACTGGGAACTTGACATACTACTCTTGTTGCATGAAGTGGGTGCTAAATCAGGAAGACTTGTAGGACGAGAGGGATGTTTCTGTTATTTGCCTTCTGACACTGGCATTTGTGGCTTTAGCGACTTCGGTTGCCTTCAGCTATGGGAAACTTGGGCCCTACATCTTTAACAGTTCTTAAATCATGGGTTCACTGCTGTTGTTGAAAGAGGAGCATCTAACACTGCTTCTCACATGTCCTGCACCCTCTAGTCTTGCCATCCTGTTGAGAGAAACAACTGTAAAGGCTGTGTGCAAGGAATTGTGATCACACGGAGAGGGACAGGCTGGATATTCTGACCTTTGGCTGTTCTATCTGATGTGTTTAATCCTGGATGTTTTGGAACCATGTGAAGGCAGCGAATAGTTTCAGATCCCAGCCTCCTAGAAAATCCCTGGGTGGGCAGAAAGGTTAGTATTAACACGTGGAAGTGAAGCGAATGGCTGACAAGTCTTTTCCTCTGTTTGTAGGGAAGTCTGTGAGAGCTCAGTTCTGCTGTGTCTGAAGAAGAGGTTCCATCGCAATCTTATTTATGTATGGGTCATGTGTGGTTTTTTGGGTTTTTTCTTCAGTGCTTATTCATGCTGAACAATGAGCTTTTAGGGAAAATAATAATTTCTATCATTCCATCGAGCTTTACTAATGCACCAAGTAGCTCAAGAGCTCACTCATTACTGGGAACAGTGATAAGAAGGATATTCACACTGCTTTTGCTCAGAAAATGGGTAACATGAAATATTTGTGGTGAAATCTGTCCCAGAGTTTCTCTTTAATTTTGGTATTTGTTGCCAAGCCATGAGTATGCTTGGGTTCAGTTTTAGCCTCAGTTGCTCCTGTCTTAGCAAAACAGTTCTGAGTAAAAATTGTGGATCTTCAGAAGAAACTTCAGAGTTTCTGCAAACATTTCAGTGTTGCAGTCCAGAGCTAGATGGCTAATTGTTCTTTTTCACTTACTGGCTCAGGTGTTCAAACCTGTGCCTATAATTTCATGTGGAGCTTGGAGAATAGAGAGTGATCAGTGAAGATGACCACAGACCAGTGAGTGCCTTCTTATCTCAGAATATTAATGACAGAGCTTTGAAAATGACCACTGAAAAATGGTGCTATGCCTTGAATAAGCTGTCAGTATAGACAGAGTAGACAGTATTCCTTTAAGGGTCATTTTAATCTTTGTATTAATAGATGTGTTCAGTTGTATTCCTCATTCAGAAAATTCTAAGAAGTCACCAGATTTTTTTTCCCTTTCTTATTTTTGTCCTAGACTTACATTGGGCAAATTTTGGTTTCTGTGAATCCTTTCAAAGACCTCAGTATCTACTCTGAAGATGTGGCTACCCAGTATCACCAAGGGACTCTCTCAAAGAATGCCCCGTATGTTTCTCTTTCTTAAATAACTCCCTAAACTCTGTTGCATTTGTGCTCCAGAAAGTATTTCATTTTCCTCCAGTTGTCTGATAGAGCAGCATGAATGCCACAGGAAGTGAGCAATCCATTTGGCAAAGTTATAGTTGCTTGGACCTGTAATGCTACAGACCTAAACTCTTTAGGTCAAGTTTCTTCAGTATTACTTGACGGTCCCGAATTTAGTGCCTGCTGGGACTGCACCTGAGGAGTTCTGGCAGTAGGTGCTCTCCACTGCTAACACCAGTACAGCCCACCAGGGCTAGCAACACAAGCTGGTTCCTCCAGTGCAGATAATCCTGCTGGTGTCCCTTACATTAAACAGCATGACACAGAGCATTCCTCAGGTTAGATCAAAGAGGTCCTGGAGGAACCTGAACTTTGCAATAACTTGTAGAAGTGATGGTAACCTGATGGCAGAGAAGAACAAAGCTCTGATTTCCCTGGTTCCTTACATTTCTCAGATGAAGGTATGGGTCCATCTCTAATGTAGATCACTGATGAGTAACCTTTTGGTGCTGTATTTGTGAGGTTGAAATGTGAAGTCAGTTCATTGGGGTTTTCTTTCTGTACATCTAGACACATATTTGCCATAGCAGAAATGGCCTATGTGCTATCCCAGTCAGAAGAGCAAGAGCAGTATGTCATCATCAGGTAGGAAATAAGGATACTTTTTTGAAGGATTGTTAATTTCTATATGTAAGACCTTCCTCTTTGTATTTCACTGTCCATGAGTTTATCATTCTGGCTTGTGTGAAGGCTGTCAGTAGAGAACATGGATAAGATGTGTTTTTATTTCACTCTGTGCAAATCCAGTTTGAATTTATCTTCAGTTAAGTTTGGAGGAGTGGGAGCAGGTGTTTGGCATTCCACAGTGGGATCTTATTTGGGTCTATTTTGTCAAGTTGTCTCAGTGCTTCAAAGAATATGTGATAGATCTTCATTTGTTGTAAATCAGTACAGCTCCACTGATTTACTGTAACAGATCTTCTGATATATCTAAATTAGGTAATTCTGTTTTCATGCTAGCTTCCTTACCTCTTGTTCCTCTAGCGGACACAGTGGATCAGGTAAAACAGAAGCTGCCAAAGCAATTGTGCGATACCTGACCATGCTGTACCAGAGATCAGCCAGCCACAGGATCAGACAGGTAAGACACAACTTAGATGGGCTTTATGCTGTGATGGCTTGTCAAGGAGTAGAAGCCAAAGGTAATGCAAAGAGGCCATACTGTTCATGTTATTTCTTTGCTCCTGTTTCATTGAGCTGGACTTCGGATGGCTTGTAGTTCAAGGTGAAGCTCCTGTAAAGACAGGAGGACAGCTGATGTATTTGTTTGTATTTTAGTATCTGGGAGCCCTGATGCTGTATAGAGTGCTGTATAGGTGTAAGGCAGGCTGTACCTGCCTTAGAGACCTTATAGTAGTGTCTGGAAGGTGAATCTGAACAAACACAGAGCAGAAGTAAAGTCAAAGATCATAGCAGTGACGGTAGAGAGCTCATAGAGCAGCTCACCAGCGGCTAGAGGTAACGATACCAAGTTTAAATTTAAAAATATATTCTGGCTAACAGGCAATAATTATTTCAGTGAAGTCCCATTTTTTTCTTGGATTTTCAAACTAACAGTTACTTAAGTCCCTTTTGAGTTTAAAACCCCATGATTGCTATTCTCTCCATCTTTTCTTCAAGCCCTTCAATGTCCTACCCATCCTAGAGAGTTTTGGGAATGCCAGAACCATCCTCAATGATAACTCAAGCCGTTTTGGAAAGCTTCTCAATGTCTACCTGCAACAGTGAGTTAAAGGAACATCTTGGGATGCTGTCCTTCCTAGCTGTCGAGGGGTGGTTGGGTGAAAAAAGGTCTAGCAGTGCTTAAAGCTCATGCAATCAGATAGGGCTGAAGGGAAGGGGCATAGTACATTCCTTGGACTATTTTAAGGACGTTCCCTGTTGAAGATCATTCAAGTCCAAGATGCTTTGTACTCTGGAGGCTGTTCAGAACCCTGTTCTCTGTAATAGTCTGACATAAAACACCAGTGCTGGAAGGCTTCAAAATTCACACCAAGTTGGTCAGGTCATACCTTTGTTTCTCAGCAACAACTCCCTTTGCTAAACTCTCAGAGAAATGGATCGACAGAAAACCTGTCTCTAGGTTCTGACAAGATCTGTTGTTTTCTTATGCTCAGTGGTGTCGTGGTGGGAACATCCATCTCCCAGTACCTGCTGGAGAAGTCTCGTGTGGTATTTCAGGTGAGGACCAATGAGCCCCTCCCTCCTAGAGAAGTCCCTCTCTCCCTTATTCATATTTAATCTGAAATTTACTGTTAGATAACAGGGATGGGAATAAGTATGAGAATTGCCTCCCATTTCTTCTGTTAGCAAGAAATATGTCTCCTCTGTGTAGCACAAGGTGATCTTATTTCAATAAAATAGGAGGTCACTCTATCTCAAATAGTTTTAATTAAGCCATTTATTAGGTATTACTGGAAGTTAAATCTTTCTGCAAGTAATTTCTCTTAATGTCTGGAGTGTGGAAAAGTTCAGATATTGGAGCTGTGTGAAAGGGACTGCTCTCAAATGGAATGCTCTTAAGGTATCAGTGAAAAAACCTGGAAACCTTTCAAATGAAATAGTTCTCGGGTGGCTTCTGGCCTCATCTTCCTGACCTCAGAATTTCAGTGTCCTGCTCTTTGAGTGTTTGGCTTGTGGCAGCACATATTCTGTAGGGTTTTAGAACGGTTAGAACTGACTGGATATGTGTCAACTCTATGAACTCTGTTCCCTGTCAGGCCCATGGTGAGAGGAACTACCATGTGTTTTATGAGCTACTGGCTGGGCTGCCTGCGGAGCAGAAAGAGGAGCTGTACTTGCAAGAGGCAGAGTCTTACTTTTACCTGAATCAGGTGAGTGGGGCGAGGATGTTCTGCAGCAGCTGATAGTGTGAAATGGCCAAGATATCACTTCTGTTTGGTTAGTGAGGCACCTGATAACTTTGCTTCCCTCACGGCACTGCACTAAAGTCTGCTTTGCTCCTTCTCACACATAATCTAAGAAGGACTACCTTTGTCTCTCATGTGATCTTTTTCTCAGCTTTCAGGCCCCTTTTGCTCCCAAGGAAAGCCTTTTAAAAAGGAGTCATCGTGTAGGCCCATGGCTCCACCCTGTGGTGAAGAAATGCTTTTCTCGTTCGCTTTCCTTGCATTTGTAATTTATTGTGAGACTAGAAAGACTGGGGGATATTTCTTTCTACTTTTGGCAAAACACTTGCTTAATTGACTGAGTCAATGGGTGGAAAGTAAAGAAGTTAGCAGAGGCTGACAAAAATCTCTCTTGGATCTTGACCTTGGCAAGAAGAAGCCCAAGGGCCGCCTGGACCTCGTTCTTGTCCTCATCTGAGTCTGGTGATCAGCTAGAAACTTTTGTCAAAGAATGCCCTTGTACACAAACAGGTTCTACAGACCCCCTTGACCCCTTGACCATGACTTCCATGAACTTTAGGGTCCCGGGCAGTTAGGAGTGTCTTCTTGTAAAGAAAAGCACAAGAAGAATAAGAGTGATATATCCATGTTGTAGTGAAGCTTTGTGGCAGAGGTGAGTGAGACTATAACCTGGGATGGCTCTCTAGGTGTACAGAAACGCATTTGCTTTGATACATTTTGTTCTGGTACCATTTGAGGTAGAAACTGTGACATGACGTACTTGGGAGTAGATTCTGGCATCCCTTCGTCTCTCAAGCTGCGCTCCAGCAGTGGGCAAGGGGTAGCTGGGGTACCTGTATTGGAACCATAATAAAAATTCAGCTTGTGTGGGCAAGAGAGATCTTACTCTCAAAAACTCCAGAGAGAAAAAGACTTTTCTGTCATGAATGCTGAGCTCTCACTTGCTGGTGTCTTTGTTCTTTTTATTTCAGATTCCTCCAGTCCTTAAAACATTGAACTGCTTCTCTGAAGATTGCTGCTGGTACCGCAGCTCCAGCCTAGGGCAAAAGGGACTGACCACAATTATCTGTCGCTATTCTCTCAGGGCAGAGCATGTGACATCGTGGGGAAGGAGGACAGTCAGGACTTTCTGATCTTGGTGCAAGCTCTGGAGAGAATCAGCCTCTCGGACGATCAGCTGACTTCCACCTGGGCTGTGCTGGCCGCCATTCTGCAACTGGGGAATATCTGCTTTACGTCCTACGAGGTACGCTAACCCTTGGCAGCTTGGGAATGAGCTGTTTGTGCTGAACATTGCTTTTAGCCTATGTGATGGGACTGGGGCCATTATTCTTGATGGAAGATTATATCCTTTGAAGACTATTCTGTACTTTTGACATTATGCTCTAGACTGACCTAGGCAGAGACAGGAGATGGGAGGCAACCAAAGGTCATTAGAGCTTGGGTGGCTCTTTGAGGAGCCAGAATGAACCTAGATGCTGGTGTTTTACCCAGGCTGTGACCGGCTCTGTGCAGATGAGATGCTGTTGAGAATATTAGTACTAGTGAAACCTAGTATCCCATCCATAGTTGAATCTATTTGTTCTCCCTTATTTAGAAAGAATCCTATGAACATGCAGCCATTGCCAGCAACACGGAGATTCAGATTGTGGCCAATTTGTTGCATGTCTCAGCAGATTTCCTGCAAACTGCTGTCACTCACCGTGTCACTGTGAGTACCTTTTTGGCTATTTCTTATTTATCCTGGAGCATGGAATGCCCTAGCCAAGTGCTGTGTCAGGAGAAGGGCCACCACCTTAGAAGGCCCAAAATCTGGGAGGTAACAGCAGGAGTAAAATGGCTGCTGTACTGGATCAGTAATGGGGATGGGCTGAACCTCTCAAGGCAACTCTGTAAAGATGGCAAAACTCACACCTAGGAGGGCTCTGACATGGGGTGGCTTCAGGCTTAACACTCTGGCCAGCTGACTCCCACTCTGAAATGTGGCAGCAAAATTCTGGTTTTACTTTTTCCTTTGATACCTGGGTAAATTCTCAGGCCAAATGAAAAAAAAAATCCATTTATTAACTGGGCTGACTTCCTTGTGGATTTTAAAAAAAAAAAGTGTATTTGTGAGATAATAACAGTAAATTCTGTCTCTTTATGTATCCAGATGACATCCTATGATCGGATCTTCACCCCCCTGTCTGTAGAAGGAGCCATTGATGCCAGGTGACTTCTGCTGTTGTCCGGGTTGGTGCGATGAACCCAAGGATGCTGTCTTTGCTGTAACTGGTTTTACTCCTCTCTCCTACTCAGGGACTCCATTGCCAAGACTCTGTATTACCTGCTCTTTGAGTGGCTCTTGCTGAGAATCAATGAGTGGTTGACTCCCTGGGAATCGGACTGTGCAGTTGGCATTGTGGACATACATGGGTTTGAGGTTGCTTTTCCTATTCTTTTCATACTATATTATTAAGCAGAGCAGGGGCTTAGAGTGATACGTGCTCATCAAGACCTGTGAGTTTTATACTTAGAATTCCTGTTGAAATCTGTGTGTTCTGATGAATGCTGAAAACAATGGAGCATATGCAAGTGGGAGTGTGCATCGAAGAGTAGATCTTTTCTTCTTTGGCTCCTTCACAGCTTGTCTTGCCTCTTGCTGTTCAGCCTAGTCAATAAACCAGGCATAAGATCATTTGAATTTCTCAGGTTCATTCACACTTGCTGTTCAGAACAAGCTGCCTGAACCAGCAGCTCAGATCAGCACCATGTGGTGCTGTGCATTGTTTGCAAGAAGACACAGCCTCCTGGGAGGGCTGTGCGTTGCAATTGATGATGCCTTTTTGTCTTTGCAGGATCTAGGTATGAACAGCTTAGAGCAACTCTGTATCAACTTTGCAAATGAGCATCTCCAGCGTTTTTTCAGCCAGACTGTCATTGCCCAGGAAGAGGTAAATGGAACTCATGCCAGCAGGTGAAATACACCACATGAGGAATAAGCTGAAGCAGCCCCAGCTGGAGAGTATCCTCTAGTGGGGAAGCAGGAAGCTGAATGGACCTGGCTCTCTTAAGCAGTACCCATGGAACCCTAGTCCAAAGAGATGGTTATTTAATATCTCTAACTAATTCTGTAGTAAATTAAGGGAAGGAGAGTTTGTTAGTGCCTTGCTTCCTTTTATGGATTTTATAAGTGAGTTGGTCAGGATCAAGGACCCCAGACATCAGCTGGTACTTGTAAAGCCTGTTTGGTAGACTCATTGTAGCATTTTGTACACCGCTCATGTCCACCTGGAGGTGAAAGTGTATTTATCAGACTTGTTGCCTTTTACAGTTCACTTTATCACTCTGCTTAGTGGCCTTCCTCTCTTAAATTAGGAAAATCATTACTGGCTTTAGAAGAAGTTTCATTAGGCAAAACTAGAGAATTCTAGGCAAGTGTCTAACAGCAGTGAAACACTAGCTTCCTGATGAACAACCCACATCCCTCTGTTAACCCCCTCCATTTGTTCTTTTTTGCATGGCTGGATCTGACTGGTTGGTCTTTAACATGCAGGAGGAATATAGCCAAGAGCACTTAGCCTGGATTCCTATTTCCAAGATGTGCAGTGAGTCATGCCTAGACTTCTTTACTGCAAAACCCCATGGCATCTTGCATATCCTTGATGACCAGACCTCACTGACTCAGGTGAGAAGCTCTTATCCTCTTATGTGATCCCTTTCACAGGATGGTTATGGTGAGGCAGTTACACAGATTGAACAGGGACTGTGTTCACACAACTATTAGATGTTTTTAGCTTTGGTTTAACAGCAGCTTTTCAGCCTACTGAATATGTTGCAGCAGCAGAAAGCGTCTTTGTCATCTCCTTTACAGGCCACCGACCACACTTTCCTCCAGAAGTGTCATTACCATCATGGAAACAGCCCTTGGTATGCCAAGCCCAAGCTGCCTTTGCCAGTCTTCACTGTGAAGCACTATGCAGGCCCTGTCACCTATCAGGTGAGCTGCCAGGGGGTTCTCAGCTGTTGGAGCAATAGGCCAGCTTGGAAGCATGCTGTGGATGCCTGATGGATCAGCTCCAAGTGCGGTGAACAAAGCCCTCTCTTTGTAACTGCACACCCCTCTAAAGCATCACTTTATCAGAAATGAGGAGATTCTTGTTAGGAGAGGCAACTAAGCTGCCTCTGAGCAGAAGCAAAATAGGTAATGGGCTCAACTACACAACAGCCTACGTTGCTTGTCTCAGAGCCCTGGAAATCCAGGAAAAGGATTTGCTGCTGTAAGAAAGTGAGGGTTCAAAGTCTGCTGTGCAATGTGAAGGAGAAAAGAAACAATCCCTCCTAAAAGCAGAAGTCATTGTCCCCTCCACTCCCAGCGGCAGGAGGGTCAGCAAGGTTCATTCTCTAGGGCTTTCCCCTTGTTCCACCTCTCCAGCTGTCTGCCCCAGGTCATGGTGTGTGTAAGAGGGGTGTTTGCCTGTCTGGTTGGTGATCTGAATGATACATTAAAGCAGACTTTGCCTCTGCAGGTCCACAAGTTTCTTAATAAAAACCGTGATCAGCTGCGTCCAGAGGTGCTGGATATCTTCTCTCAGAGCCGCCTCAAGGTATTGTAGTGGTTCAGGATGAAGATCTCCGTTGCAGACACCTAACTTGCTGCTCATTGCTTTCATGCGAGAAGCAGAAAGATACCAGTCAGGTGTCAAGAGAACTTGGAGAAACTTTGAGGAGTTTTGTTCTACTGAAGGGCACTTGGGAATTGAGCAAGTCATCTTATATAGAACACACACACTGCCTGAGGATGCAGCTGGTTTCCTGGCAGTGCTAGGGGAAAGGGAGAATGATCCCCCAGTTTCAGGTAGTTCTATCTTTCTGATAGTTCTATCAGTTTCAGATTGTTTTATCCGTGTAAGTTAGGGAGCTTTGGTAATTTTTTTTTTTTTTTTTTTTTTGCAGGTGGTGTCTCACATTTTCCAGAAGGCTAAAGCTGCCTATAGTCAGGAAAGGATGCTGGGGGCCAGAGGCAAAGGGCTCAAGCCTCAGGCCTCCACACTGGTGTCCAAATTCCAGCAGTCTTTGCAGGACCTCACCGCCAAGCTGAGAAGGTGACAGATGCTGTTATGGTGCCACCCCTGCACTGGGCGTATTGCTGCACCCAGAATTCTGTGAGGTCTTCCGAGGTTGACACAGAGGAGGATGATGAAAGGTTCTTCCCTCTGTTTTGTAGGAGCCATGCCTTCTTCATTCGGTGCATCACCCCTAATCCCAAAAAGGTAGGACAGCACCCTGAGCTCCTTATGGAGTCCCTCAGTTCCTTGAAGTCCAGTCTTCTCCAGCAACTCTCCTTTCACAGTTGGGGTTTGGACTTCTTTGCTCCATTTGATAGCTTGGAACATTTCTTCCCCTTTCTCTGCCTCTCACCCTTCCCTGTGGCTGTGTGAGCTGACAGCATAGTGGAGGATAAGAAGCCAGTGTCAGCTGGACACCAAAGGATGTGCTGGGTTTTGTGTTCCGTTGTCCATAGACCATGGCAAGATCTAACCCAAGGACAGGACAACAGAAGGAGACCCTTTCTAAACTCTCCACCCTCTGTCTCCTTTCTTTTTTATTTATTTCTTGTTTTATATTTTTCTTCTGCCTTATATTCACAGCTGTCAAATATCTTTGATGTGGAGCATGTCACTCGTCAGTTGCGGCATTCTGGGATACTGGAGGCCATCCACATTAGAAAGGAGGGATACCCAGTCCGTCTTCCATTCCAGAACTTCCTAGCCAGGTACAATAGTGTGCTGGCTTGGGGTTCCCAAGCCACTCAAAGCCTGGATGAACTTGTCAGCACATTATGATTTGTTCTCCTCTGAGGACTCCAGTTACAGCTCTGGCTTCTTTCATATCTACATCTTGTCTTCCAGGTATGGCATTCTGGCTGGGCCAGGGCACAACTGCTTGGAGGAGAGAGAAGGCTGTGTGGCCATTCTGTCTCGTGTGGTGGGGAACCCCTCAGATCTCTATCAGATTGGAGTAACAAAGGTGATGCCTATAGAGAATTCCATCTTAATCCACAGGCTCAGCCATCTATTCACTGGCTGTCAATGTACAGAGAACAGCTTGGCTCTCTGCCCAAAGAGGGAGAACATTGCATGCCTTCACCTCCTTTTTGCTTTGCCTTTTGTCTCAAGTATGAAAGAAGGATTTTTAGCATTTCAGTTAAAGAAACAGGAGACTCTGGCTCTAGGCTGTTGTAGTAGCATGGTGAACTCCTTTGTCTGCCCAGCATTCCTTGATGGAGATCTGGGCTTCGGCCTTTCCTGCCTGCTAACCTCTGTCACTCCCTGATTCCCTGTCCTCTACAATTACAACCATCTCTGTCACCTGCACCTGCACCTCCTGCATCCCCAGTTATGGGAGTGCAGTCTCCTTAGCAGGGGAGCCTTAAAGGCTACAAAGAGATAAACCAGCAGCTTCTATTATTGATCAATTCTTAGAGAAAGCTGGCTACTTTCCTTGTGGCTCAGTAGATGTTCCCTTTGCCCAGGTCTTTCTGAAGGAGCAGGCCAGGCAGATTCTGGAGAGAAAATGGAGTCAGAGGCAGAGTTGGGCAATTGTTACTCTGCAAAGGAACTTTCGGTGCCTCCTTCGCCGTAGACGCCTCCGTGTCCTCCAGGAGAAAGTCACCATCATTCAGGCTCACTTCTGAGGTTATCAGGCAAGGTCAGGAGTCAAAGGCCAGGCAAGGTACAGCCCTTTGTACAGCAAGCTGGGGACGTGCCTGACCAGGCCCCCTCTCATGCTGGCTCCTGGCTTGCTCTGCCGGGGGGGTATCCTGTTGCTGAAAGGGTGGAGGAGGGACTTCCCAGCCTGGTTCCACTGAGCAGAGGTTCTAGGGGAAATACAGCTGCTGTCTAAACTTCTGTTGTAACTTGTCTGTGCTAAAGCTGATATTGTGCTAGCTAGAGTAAAGGATGTAGGGAGAGACCAAGCTTAACACAGTAAGACCAAATATGGACTGGCTGGTTGTATTAATATTCTGTTTGGCCCATACCCTCAAACTGAGTCTACTATCTGCCTAAATTTTGTTGATGTTTCCCTCATTAGCAATTCGTATCTTTTCACATTCCTTTAGGAAGCGTTACAGGAGGCTGAAGAAAATGTTGGTGCAATTTAATACTATGATTTTAATCTCCAGACCTTTGATTCAAAGGAGGAAGCACTGCCAGGTAACAACTCTTCTCCAGGACCAGGTGTTCTACAGGAGCTAGTTCTGCCCTAGGTAGAGAGAACTGGTGACTGGGTGAGGCCAGGGCAGGGATAGCTTTAGGAGGTTTCCTGGAAATGATGCAATGAGGTGTCCTTCACCCTCTGGCTGATGTAAATGTAGTCAAAAGAAGGAACCACAGAGACTGGAGCTTTCACTCCCTAGACAAAGTTCAGAACTGGCAAAGGTAGTAAAAGTGCAGCTGATCCGTATGTCTGTGTGAGCTTCTCTAGGCTGCCCCACACAAGATGTGAGCTTATTCCATCTGGGGCCTCCAGAGCTGCTGTTCTACTCAAGCTATAAGGAGTCATTCATCTTGTTCTTTCAGTTGTCCAGTTCAATTTCTGGTGTTTTCCCAGATGGTGACTGAAACGCAAGAGTTTTTCAGTCCACAGTGATCCTTCCCTGACCCCTTAGAGTTACCTCAGGCTCCTGAAGTCCTTGGCCTTTTGGAAGTCAGCTGGGACCATAGTTGGGCTGAGAACAGGATGGCAGTGTTTTGAGAAGATGGAAAGCTGTGTGCAGGAGAGAACCATGGTTCTGTTAAATGTGTTGAATGTATATTGCACAAGGTATTAAAAGGAAAATTGAAAACAGGAAATCAAGACCGCTCATCTTAGGGTGGCAACTAATACCCCTATACCTGTCAGCTTCACGAGAGAAGATGCTGGCATGACTAACGAAGGATAAGGCAGAGAGTTAAGGTCAGTGATGTTGCTGGAAGGCTGCAGAGGTTTCTTCTGCCATGCCGTGCCCAGAGCAGTGTGTGTTTCTGTTGCTTTTCCTGCTTCTTCCTACTTGGCCGGGATCCAGCTTTTCTTTCTCTCAGGTAACCACCACAGCACAGCTCTTTTGAATCTGTTTCTGTTTCTCTAGTGTTTGCTTGCTGAGGTGTCTGTACATGCAGTAGCAACAATAAAGGTCTCAAAGTTTACCTGCTACAAAGTTCCTCCTTTCCCCCCCACCCCACAGCCCTGCCCTTTGGACTTTAGCATGCCTACTGTCTTTCTCAGCCCAACCCTCATACCCTCCCATCTAGTCACACCATTCTGCAACATAGACAAGCAGGAGCGAGAGAGGGAGAGACAGAGACCCTCCTTTTCCATCTCAGAGTAGGAGTCAGGTAAGTGGTGAGGCTGGGGGACAACAGAATGGATGGGAAAGGGCAGAGCTGCAAGGGAGTTTGGCTTTTGGTATCCCTCCCACCCTCTCTAAAGGGGTCCTTCTCCACGGACAAGTTCATCTGTCCACTTTCAGGCTGAGTTACCATATTCTTTGATGCTGGAGGAGGCAGGTGAATGTTTCTGACAGCTTCTGTGTGCTTTTGTCCTGAGACACATCAAATACTAGGCAAGGGAGGAAAGGTGTGGCAGGGATGCTGGGCAGGTGGTGAAGGCTCTTGCTGTTGTACTGTGTTGTGCAGGGCAGGTGGTGTTTTAGCAAAGCTAAGGGCTTTCCCTGTGCATCCCCTTCTCAATACACTGAGTCTCAAGAAGGCTCTGCAGCTGTTCCATCTTTTTATTTTCTTGAGCAAGACACCAGCTCTTGCCCATCTGCAGAGTCTGCCCCTAGAAGTAGCTGGAAGTGACCTCATATGCATCTTTTCCCATCTCTGACTCCTCTTTTATCTCCTAACAGCAGGAGTTAGAGGAAAGGAAGCGAAGAAGGAGGTCCCTGGCCAGTGGTGACACAGAGAACAGTCCCAACCAAGGAATGGTAAGTTGTCGAACAGTCTGGGAGAGTGTGGGGTAAAACAAGCCAGGGTCTCAGGGCGTTCCCCCTGGACTATGCCTCCTCAGCCCAGGTTTGCTGGGGAACAGCAAAACATCCGAAGAGTGTACAAAACCCACCTGGATGCTGGAAACCCAGAAGCAAGAATGCAGTTTAGGCTGGTAGAGAGAGCCTTCTACACATAACTGTCTCAGTTCAGTGGTTCCCACTCTCTGGGCACAGTCAGGCATCATAAAGTGGTCCTGAGGCAGAGTACTGTATTTGTTCACAGCACTGGCCCTGTTCCTTGGAGCTGGGAGGAAGATTATTTTTGATAATTGTGTTCTGTTGTGAAGGGTGGGAATGAGACAGTTCTGCACAAATATATTTATGGAAGATGCTGTAAAGAAAGGAAGGTATTAAAGGCTTTATAACAAATTAACTGCATAGTCTGCAGGGTGTTTAACCTGTATCAACTACTATAAGTAACAGTGCTAATGTCATTATTTGTATGTTTAGACTGGGCATACATTTGCTATCACATGTGTAGCAAGGAAATCTGAATTGACATAATGCACATTTTTGCACAGATTTGTCAGTAACAGCAACAGGAATACTTAGCACTGGGTGCTTTTGCAAAATCACCTTCTTCCTTGGATGTGGATCCAGGACTGTGTAATTTCACAGTTCCACTTCTTGAACATGCCATTGAAAAGCTAGGTTTAAAGTCAAATATCTTATTATGAGTAAAATCAAACTGATTAAAAAAGCTGTAAATCTATCTTTAAGCATTGCTGAGAGTTTATGTGGGGAGAGATGTCAGAATAATATGCTGGTGATTAGAGGCTTTACTAGGCAGATCTTAAAAAAACCAAAACAACAAACCCCAAAAACCCAGGCTGTGTGCCTATGGCTTGGTTCCAATGTGTCTTCATCTGAGTAGTCCCCTCTGAAATGCCCTGAGCTGACGTTATATGCAGGCATTGATGCTGATACACTGTGTTGCATTGGCCCGTTTACTTTCTACCTTGCACAAATGCATGCATCATGCAAAGTGCAAAACACTGAAAAATCTACGATCATTGGCCAGATTCTCATCTGAATTACCCAGGTACAGATCTGCCCTTCCTTAGGAACCTTCAAAACAGTGGTGTGCATCAAAGATCAGAATCAGGTCTCTGTTTATGCTGTAGCACTCTTGGATACTGAAAAATAAAAATTAAAATGTCAGAAAAAGGAGCAGGAGGAAATGGCCCTTACCCTTCCACTGCAACCTCTTCTGTGCAATATGCCAAACTTGTTAGTAATGACAGGTGAGTCAGAGAAAGTTAACTTTCCTGTCACTTCTCCTGTGGCAGTTCATTTTTTTTTTTTAAGAATTACTCACCTTTCCCTCCTTTGCTGACCCATATCATATACCTGTGTTAATATGATACTTCCCTGTTTGTAATGTTTCTGAATGTTGCATAGACAGAAATTACCGGTTTTGCTCAGATGCTCAGTCCTTGTTCTGGCCAGCTTTTCAAAGGCAGCTTTACCCAATCTCAACAGAACAGCTCAGGGTTTATGTGTTGTTTCAGTGCTGGTACCCCTGTGACTGAGTTGCTCACTCTCTCCACAGGATGTGGGACTGCTGGAGATCCCTGCAGAGCTTGCTGCCATCCTGCAGGTAGCTGAAGGTGAGAAATCCTCCCTCCTTCCCACACTTTCCTGTGCAGTTTTACTTTACTGTTTATTTCCTTGTTTTCTAGCAGTTTCAATATGTGTTTGTTCCACCTGCTGTCTGTCACCTGGATTCTATTTGATCTGTTATTATTGCAGTGTAAATATGATAAAGGCAAATGGTGTTGGGTATATTGTTTCCCAACACAACACGGGGGAAAGCAACTTGGGCCAGTGGGCAGAACACCAGATTAAAATTCAGTGTCTTTGTTACCTTTTCAGTTCTTCTTCTGAACTGTGCTGATAGAACTAATGACAGCAATGGTGCAAAACTTTTTGGTCAAAGCTATGTGACAGCAAACTGTTTAATGAACTCAAGTCTCTTGGAGAGCTGGGTATCTGGGGTGTGAGAACTTAAACCCATCTTTCTTCTACTCAAAAATCTTTAAGGAAATTGAAGGTGAAGAACTACAATTTTGGCACTTTCAAATAAATATATTTGGGTTTTCATTAAAAATTACTTCTTCAATACTCACTACTTATTTTAAAATAGAAGTAGGTAGAAATAATGTAACAACTTAAGAATGTAACAATTAAAGGAAATGTTTTGCTTGGGATGGAAAGTTTTTTGTTTTGTTTTCACATCAGCAAAATAGCACCAAGTGAAATAATTTCCCAAGTTGTTGACCTGATCTTGAGCATTAAGTTATTTGCAATTTTGTTTCCTCTGTAACTCTTTGTACAATGTATATATTTAAGTTGCAAATAGGTTGAGGCAGGATTTACCTCTTTATGTTGGTGCAGCGTCTAACAAAATGACAGCTGTGTCTTTGGCTTTCTGTATAGCACAGTAAAAGATACAATCAGGCAGAATCTTGGGAATTGGAGCAGTCTGCTGGATTCCCAAACACCTCATGCTTCATGGCATACCCCTCTAGGGGCCATCAGCTGGTCTCGTGAGCAATGTTACATAGAGGAGCTTGGGACAGACCACACTGAAACTGCTGAAAATGAAAGCTGAGGAGATGTAAACATGGAAGAGGAAAAGAGCATCAGGGGACACATTGGTTTGGAGATGGAGGAATGCACAGAAGCTGTGCTGCATTGAGAAATCTCTTCATATTTAGGAAGATGTTTGCTCCTCTATTATCCATGATAAATCCCTCATCCAGTGCCTCATCATGAAGACCTGTCATTTACTTGTTGACTGAAGAGCTGTCAGCAGTATCTCTGCATAGGCTCAGTGTTTCCTGCCTTGCAAACTCTGCATAGCAGAACCGAAACTCCAGGTGCTGGCTGCCCTCTGGGTGTGTATTGTGTAACTCATCCAGGGATGAGAGTCTGGAAGATCAGAGCTGTGAAAGCTGTCTCCTGAAGTTAGACCTTGTGGTCTCAGGGAAGGGAGGATGTGCCTGCTTGGGAGTTCAGGGCAGCAGGAGGCTGGTCCAGGTGCTCAGGCAAGGTTAGATGCACGTTAGCCATGTGTTGCACTGTGAATCAGATGGGTTCTGGCTGCCTTTCCACCTGCTACAACACAAGATCTCTTTCTCTTGCAGGTCAGTACCGAGCACAGGCCAAACAGATAACTGAGGCATTGCCTCCAGAAGTCAAGGTCAAAGATGACCTTTCCCTCCCACCCACCATCAACAGCTATCCTTTCTCCTCCTTCATTAAGTCACACTTCCAGGTGGGAGCTCTTTTTATATCTCTTCATTGCTTCCCCACTGGGGCGACACACTAGTTCTAGTAACACCAGGAACAAACTCTGTTTCTGTCGTTTTGTTTCTTTGCAGAAGACAGATTTCCCTGCCCCTGGTCAGCCTCTGCAGCACCCCTTAACCCGCCTGGACACTGAATATCATGAGGGCGCGCTTGAGGTCAACAAACTGGTAAGAGACATCTTTCTTGACTAGGGCCTTGTTGCAGAACAGGCGGGCATAAGACAATGTTTTGATGCCTTTGTACAAGAAGATGCTGCTGGTGGCTACTGTTCTTACAAGACATGGTGTGTTAGGAGAGGAGAATAAATTTTTTCTTCTAGGCATTGGAGCAGCCTGGCAGAGATCACATGCAGCACCTTAGGGTTGCTGTGTTCTTGGTGAGGCATAGGCCAGCCATAGACCAATGGGATCAAAGTGAATTGCCTGGTAGCCTCAGAATTTGGCAGGACATAAAGGAATTAGACTGCTAAGCCTTAGTTTCCCAACATTCCAGATTCAGTAGCAATGACAGTGTAAGGGAGGTCTGTCTTTTCAAGCACTTATTTTTACCTGTCAGTCATAAAAAATTTTATTTTAACCCAGATCTTTTCCATGATCTGGTTTAGAGTGAATATATTGATTGCATCTGAGGCATACAGTTGCATCAGTACACAACAGGGGACAGTGAACTGTTGTAAAAAGGCTGGAAAAAGGCAGGGACTTTGTCATCAAGAAAACTACACCTGGAGCCACACCCTGCTTCTGTAGTCTTTTCATAAGGTGGATGGTGTTATTTCATCTCTGTGGATGTGAAATTAACAACATTCTTAAAAATGGTAATGTTGACTCTCTGAAAATAGAATTAAACTTCAGATAATTTCTAATTAACTCTGGTGATCCTTTTGAGAATTACATGTAATTAAATAAGCCCATTAGGAAAGGTAATACCTAAAACCAGTCTCTTGTTTTATCCTAATGATCCCAATTATAGAAGAGCATAAGCTTCAATAAAATCTTGTGAATAGGATTGTGCTTAAGCAGACTACTATTATTTTTTTCCTGAAGATCAAATATAATTTTTCTTCATGGCTAATAAAAAAAATATGGCTATTTCTTTGTCAAAGGCTGTAATACATAGGGATTTACTACAAAGAATTCCATGAGAACTAAACAACCACCATCTCCTTTTTTTCTGACTGAATCTCTGACACACTACCATTACCCATTTTAAGAAGTGGTGTTCTCTGAGGGAAAAATAGGCAATCACTCATAAATACACTTTCCAAAGCTCCCCATGGCATATTTTGTTCATGGCACATTTTAGAAAAATTTTAATCTAATGACATATTGAAGTGTAAAGACTGAAAGAAATTATTCTGTACCCAAGGATGAGAAATACAAATTACCAAAGCATCTAAGATGTTGATATGCATAGCCAAGAAGCAGAATCATTGCTTGAATGAGTTGGTTGAGATACCACATCTCATACTACTTGGTATAATATTAACTACACTGAAGTCTTTTTAACATTTGGTTTTTAGACAGTGTTTCCTCATGTCTGGCGCTCTGACCTTTTCACAAAGATCAACTAAGCATCCATTTCTTTGACACATTTTTACAGCTAGGGAGCCTGTGGGCCCAGACACAGTAACAAATAGCTTATGGTAACTTGCTTGTGTATCTGAGCTCTGCTCAAAGAAAGGGAAGTCTTTTACCCAAGAACAAATTCTGAATCAGAGGCATAACTAAGAAGAGACTGAAGTCATCCTGACTTTTTAGTCAGGATCCAATCTCTATGAACACTGCCTCCCAAATTCCCCAGAACTTAGGTGACACACAAAACCTGAGAACAGATCCCGATCTCAGTGTTGGCTGTTCTTAGGCTCACAAACACTCTGGTGTCTACAGCCCAGGTTGTCACCTTACAACACAGTTTGGGACAGAGGGTTACAGCTAGAGTTCTCTCTTTTTTTCTCTTGAATGCTTCTAGATTTTGCGGTTCATTGGTGACAAGAATATCGACGGCTGGCAGGAGGTACTTCTGGGCAACTACATTGCTGGGAGAGGTTTGAATAATGTGGCTCTGCGCAACGAAATCTTCAGTCAGGTGGCTGCTCAGGCATGGAAGAACCCAGACATGGTGCACAGCCAGCGAGCTTGGGTCCTGATGGCGAATTTGCTGAGCTGCTTTGCCCCTTCACCAGAACTGGAGAAGCCATTGCTGAAGTAAGGAGGAGAAAAGACCTAGGTAGACTGTCATTAAGCTTCAGAGAGATGAGCAGTGTGCTAAAGGCAGTTGCCTTTTCCTAGATTTGTGTCAGATCATGGCATGGAGGGCTACAACGCTGTTTGCCAGCGCAAGATCTTGACAGCAGCACAGCACACAGAGATAGACTCTACATTCTCTCGGGCCTACCCTCCTACTCAGCTGGAGTGGACTGCAAACCAGAGGAAAGGGAAGATGGTGCTGGATGTCCATACCTTTAATGGTAACTCGTGCTTCTGCACTTCTGCTATTTTCTAGTTCCTAAGGACTTTTCGAGGGCAACAGTAAGCATTCAGAAAATACTTCCCTCAGCTCCCTTAAAGAGGGATCAGAACACCGATTGCTTCTGGCTGGTACAACCATGGGGGATACAAGCATCTGTATCTAGACGCAAAACTCACGAACTCTGGGCCTGATGAGACCTGCTACTCAGGCTGAGGGATGATATTCTCCTGCGCTTGGGGCCATCTCAACAGGGGTCTGTTCTGTTTGTATACCTCTATGGGTCTAGTTTTCCTGTTATCCATTACTGCATAGCCCATGCAGCAGCAACTGCTGCCTTTGTTACAGGCACTTTCTGCCTTTCTCCCTTCTCAAACATTGGCTTATGCTGCCTCTTGAGTGATCAGAAACTCTGAGTTGAATGCAGAACATGCCTGCTCTGGCTCCTTGGTGAGTGGAGTTGGTGGCTCAAGCAAACCAGGACGTTGCGAGGGTTTTCAGCTGTCAGGCTGGAAATGCCAACCTGTGCCATTAAACAGTTATTTTGGATGTGAATGTGTTCCTGTGGAGCCCTCCATGTGCTTTCAGTCCTCCTGTGGGCCCCCGCAGGAGTGTGTAAGACCTTCCAACTGGGCTCTGCCTGTGTCCTACGGAGCTTAGGTGTTGCTTTGGGTCCTGCTGGGGAGGCTGTGTGTACTGACTTTCTTTTCTGTGCTAGAGGAGAAGTTCTCAGCCGAGGTGGAGTCCTGGATGACTGGGGAACAGTATGCAGGCTGGCTCCTGAGTGCAAGGTACTGCCAGAGGATGGGAGAAGATCTGGGGGCGTGAAAGAGGCTGTTGCTAGTTCTAAGGTTCAGACTGGTAGGGGCTGCAGGCTAGAATTTTTATGGTCAGATGTGGAATTGCCACTCCTTATCCACTCCAGCTTGTGCTCTCTCCTTCACCCTTCTATCTGTGTGCCTCTTAGAAACAGTGGAATCACTGGTGTGGCCTGTCAGAGCAGCTTCAGAGAAAACATGAAAAAAAAAAAAAAAGAAGGACAATTCTTGAGTGATTATAGTTTTTTCCTTACTCTGGGCACTTAATAGTTGATTCACACCCTAAATCTTAAGGACTTAAGCCAGTTTAGACAAGGCAAGAAGAAACTGAATGCAATGTTTTCCTTTCTTTCCCTTTCCCCATCCGCCTTGACACCTTTTCTCTCTTTTTCCTTTCCCTGTTACCAGGGGCTGTGATAAGAAGTCTCGAGGGTGGTCTATCTCCATGTTTACTGGCAATGCGTGGCAGGACCTGCTGGGCTGTGACTTTGTGCTGGATCTCATTGGAGAGACGGAGGACGCCAGCAACCTCTGCAGGCCCTTTCACTCCTCAGCTGTGTACCCCATCACTGCTGAAAGGGAGAGAAGCTTCCTTCAGAACTCTGACCTGGATTCGTAAGTTGCCTAATCTGCCGCAACCACTTGTGGCCCTGTCACCCAGTGGTTCATCTTTCTCTCAGCACTCTGTGCTGTCCTCATCTCATTTTCCTCTTTAACAGGATCCCTCCTGCTCCACGCATCCGGGCCCCTCCCCTTCCACCACCTGTACTGCCTCCAGATTTCAGCAGTCTCCATTCAGGTAAGCTCTTGCCCAGGACTGTGGATGGCACTGGGAAGGTCCAGATAGGTCCCAGCCAGGGAATTAGAGCAGAGGGGGAGACAGGTGATTCTTCTTGATGTAGAGCAAGGAAGGACTCCGCTCCAAAACATGACTGTCTAATAGAGACTGGAGACAGGTGACCTGCCTTGTCACCAGACTTCTCTCTGCTCTTAGATACAAGATTCAGAAATGACCTGAGGACCCCTGTAGGCCTGGATCACTATGTGGATGATCTCTTCAGCACTGTGCTGCACCAAGGTTCCAGATTATCAGTAAGTCCCTTGATGTTCCCTCTCACTTTCTCTCTGCAGCTCTCCTGTCCCTGTGACTCCCTCAAGCAGGCCTCTGCCTATTCGCTCTGCCTCTGCTCAGCTCAGACAAGCCTTTGGATGGCTCTCCCCCTGTAAAGTCCATCTTTCTTAGCTCAGATAACATTTTTTTTTTGATGCAGGATTTGGAGAGCAGGGACAGTCTGACTGGACGCATGAAAGGAGGTGGGAAGATTGGACCCACGCAGAGAGGAATCTTTCCATCTACAGGTCTGTAAGGGGATGGAGACAGCTGGGAACACCTGTGGGGCTACACAAGCTTCAGTAAGCACAAGTCAGGGAGTCCCTTAAATGCTAATTATTGCATGGACTTAATTGATTCATAAAGAGCATTGGTCCTTAGTGTAGGTCATTAGAAGTTGCACTCGTCGCTCCTAGGTGCTGGGAGAAAGATGCTTTGGGGAAGGTGCTAGGTAAGGGTACCACCTTTGTTCTGCTTTTAATTTCTTTCTTGAATTGGTCTTGGAGTGAGGGCACCTCTTCCCTAGGCCAGTACCTGTAAGTCCTTCTATTCACCTTCTGCTTTCACAAAATAGTTGCTACCTTTTTCAGTGGAAGGTTTTAATCTTTCGTATTGCTTTCTTACAGACTTACACATCATCTCTAGCTATTCCATGGGTTAGTAAGTTTGAACCCTATAGAGGTTCTGGTTTGTGTGTTTGGTTTCTTTACTGTTCCTCATTTATGTGGAGCTAAGACTCAGGTATTTTCAGTGGAGTCGAGTCAAACACCAATATATTAATGGCACTGAGAAATCTGCATGTGTAGGAACACACCCAGCTGTTTTAGAAAGGTGGGGAATGTCCTGTTCAGGTCATTACTGAGACTGGGACTATTTTTGGCTATTGTAGACGCTTTAGGGCATGACAAGCCCCATTACAGATCACTGGCCTGAGGCCAGCTTGTTATTCATGTGGTTACTTACGTCAGTGAGGGATGTGAAGATCTCTCCATGGGCCATTCTCATCAGTGAGGATATCATGATTCAGTAGATGTGTGCTGTGTGGTGACTCACTCCTAGCTGAAACTGATCTCCATTCCCCTTGCTCTGCTGGCTTTGCCTTCAGTGGGATTTCTGTTCTGCGGCCTGATGTGGGACTTCGCTGCTGGCAGCAGAAGAATTCCCTTCTCTCCACAGATCCTTCACATGACACACAGTGCCACTCAGGCCAGGGCTTGTTCATTCACCCTTGCTACCCGCTGCAAAGAGACAGATGTGGATCTGGCACTCCCACAGATCTTTGCCCATCACTCAAGGGGAAACTCTTCTCTGTGATCACACATAGGCAGGAGTTATGTATATGCTTAGTCATGAAGGATGGTGGTGTCCTAAACTACACTGCAGAAGCAGGGTCTGGATCCTGCTATTGTAAAGCCTGGCAGGCCTCATGTTTCTCTTTGGTTTCCTTTTTCTGAATTTTGCTGTGTCCTGCTGTGTGTGAAGAGATAAACCATTTACATGTCCCTGTGGTTGGTGCATGTGGAGAGAACCAGAGGTACCCAGCCAATGTGATGTTTCCTGATCAGGGCTTTCTGATCTGAGATTCCCCAAAAGCACTGTGCATGTGGCCTTTTGCCTCTAGGCTTCTCTGGAATGACTCAAGCACCAGTCTACCAGCCCATGCCTTCAATGATGGGAATGCCAGCAGCCATGCCTATGATGCCAGCGGCTGGCGGAATTGCACCTATGCCAGGTAATAACACAGTGTTTCAGTAACTATAGCGGGTAAGAGGATGGAAGGGTGGGTGTTGTCATGGAGCCTGTGCATTTGAATGTCAGGCAGGGTGCACAGTGAATGCTCAGCTCTGGGCTGATGCTCAGGTGCTGTGGGGAATGATTGCCTGTGGGTGTTTGCAGATGTGTGTCTTCCACAGCCATGGTTGTGCCCCAGTCTATGGTTCCAGCTGTAGATCCCAATCAGTTGGCAGCACAACAGCAAGCCCTCATCAATCAGCAAGCCATGCTCATGGTGAGTGGAATGGACTGGCTGGGAGGGGCCCAGGAACTGGGGACGAAAATGCACGGGTGTGTGTGCTGTGAAGAGCTTAGCCATACTCCCTCCTGCCTTAGGCCTGCTCTGTAACACTTTGTGCTTATGTGCTGGATGTTAGCTATATAAAGTTGTGATTATTTAAGACTTCAAAACTGAGAAGCCCCTTTTTATCCCTTTGTGTACATGGCGACACTGATGTGAGTGAGTAGCAGGAACGAGAGCAGGCCCCAAGAAGCCTCAGCTGTAATTCCCATGTATTTTTAAACTGGGATTTCCTACAGATGCAGTGTTCTGCTTTCTGTACAAAGCCTTGTGAGTGCATGGAGGTCGCAGGCTGTCTCACTGGTAGCTGAGTCTTTGGGGTGTTGTTAGGAGCTCTGCATACTTGGCCAGGTGAGATCAGACTCCCTGGGCATGCCTTGTCTATACACTGGGAAATTTGCAGTGGACTATGTAGATGTTCTGTGATTACCAGTGAAAGAATGGCACAGCCAAAACAGGTGGTTTTGTGTATCCTAGAGCTCATGGACATTGCACTTCCTTTCTCCAGGCCCAGCAGATGACCCTTCAAGCCATGAGCATTTCCCAGCAACAGCAGCAGCAACAGCAGCGGTGGCAACAGTCTCTTGAGAACTCAAGACCAAAAGTCTCAGGTCCACCCCAAGCCCCGGCTCCAGCCTCAGCCCCAGTCCCAGTCCCAGCCGCTTCCCCAAAACCCAAGAAGCCTCCCAGCAGCCAGAATGCTGCACCACCACCAAAAGCTCCAGAACCGCCAGCTAAGGCAGAAGAACCGGTATGAGAAACAAACAGTGGTGGTGAATTTGGTTTGAATTTCATTATTTTTGTTTGCTCTGCTTCCCTTCCAGTGTGGTGGTAGTTTGGCAGAGAGGAGAGCAGAGAGCTATGCTTACCTATGATACTGAGGCCTTTCAAACTCTGCTTACTGGGTCTTCAAGACATGGGATCAAAAATTGGTGGCATTAGCTCTGTGGAGGTTTGGCTGCAGTGTTGGCCAATTAATTTCCAGCTGATCTGATCTTTGCCATAGGAAAATTCATCACTCTCAGTTCTTTATCTTCCAGCAAGCTGTCTTGGGCCTCTAATATACTCCTCCTCTGGACTTGTTTGATGATTCCTTGGGTCAGAGGCTGATCTCTTGGGACACTCCCAGATAGGGAAAAGTTCTAGATCAGAACTTGGCGAGGAAAGATCACCTCTGAATTTACGGGCACTATGGAGTATTCTGATGGCTAGTGCTAACTAACCATGTTGTGAACTGGTTGCAGGTTTACGACTACGCGGAGGACCAGTTCTCCAGCAGTGAAGATGATTACTATCCTCTGGAGACTTTCCAGCAGAAGAGGGAATATTTTCAGAAGATGGGTGAGCATCTACCACTTCAAGGTGCTATGATGAGTGAAGTTCCTGTTCTGCAGCCTCCCAGGCATAACAAGGTGTTCTTGTCTCCCTGTATGGAATACAGCTAATCCCTGTGGGAGCTGCTGGTGCTGTGTGTAGCAGGAGTTTTGAGTGGCTTCTCAGCTGGCTACAATTCAGATTATGAGGCATTGTGTTGCCAGTTTTCTAGAAATCTTTGGGCTTATGACTGACACACCCTCTTTTGCCTCTAGAAAGCATAGGCTTCTGCTGAGGGTGGGAACAATGCCGTTAGTGCTTGGTTCGGGCTGTGTGTTTAATGCAGGTCCCCCTTTCTATGCAGGAGAGCAACAGATCCAAGTGAAGAAAGTCAGGCCTCCTTCCAAACCTTGGACTCCTCCAGCAAAGCCCCAGCCACAGCAGGAAGAGGTAAATGAGGAGGAGCCAGAGGAGATGAAAGAAGAGAAGCCTAGCCCTAAACCAGAGGCTGGTAAGATGCTGTGCAGTGGACACCTAGGCAGGCTGACAAGCAGGAACTTTCCATGAGCATCAGGCCAGGATATAGCTAGAGGAGGAAAGAATCTGTCTGGAAATTCTGGAGGAAAGAATTCTGGGAGTCTGCATCTTGACAGGAGAGCACAGAGAGAAAGGCCTGAGCTTTGGGAAGTGGGACCCCAAAGCAAGGCAATGGAAGACCATTGCCAGTCAGCCTAGGGGTGAAAGAGCGAGCTTCAAATGAGATGAAGGGATTTCTCCTGTGTCTTTGCTGGTCTGTTGGTTAAAGCTGTCATCCCCAATAGCTCCTGCTCCTCCTTTGCCACCTCCTGAGCCGAAGCCAAAAAAGCAGACACCAAGAGTGAGGAAGGAGACACCTGTAGTGAAGCCTTCAGGCCCTGAGTCACGGCCTGCACCCAGCCGGGAGATCCGCAACATCATCAAAATGTACCAGAGCAGGCCAGCCCCCGAGCCCCAGCCCATCGAGCCTATGAGGTGAGAGAGTGGGGTCCACCCAGGTGGGCAGGAAAGAGATAAGTGGGACTATATCCCAGCACTGCCACATGGCTCCATTGTGGCCACAACCCCTCTTCTCCTCTGTAACTGTGTTTCCCATTTCCTTGCAGGAGGGTGCCCAAGCCATTTACGAAGAAAAATGATCCCAAAGACGAGGCTCTGGCCAAGCTGGGAATGATGAACCTCTCATTTCCCAAATCAGTGAGTTCTTTTTTCTCCGGTCACCTAAGAGCTCAGCAGAGAGGGACTGTATATCTAGTCTCCAACAGGTTGGGGGCTACCTGGTAGTGCAGAAGTAGTCAGGTGATTTCTTCTTGGGTTACTACATAGCTGTGAGCTCATACCATGGTGCTGCCCATCCTAGACTGGGTTCCAGTCTGTAAAGTCCATTTGAGGTCCTGGAGAAAAGGCTGTGGAGCAGCAAGTCCTATTGTGGTATGTTTAAGGCTGATCTGGAAGCAAGAAACTCATGTTCCTCACATTTGGCACCAAGGTCTTGGCCTATTAATGTATTTTTTCCCCTTCCCAACCAGTGGCTTCAATCTCAAATACTTGGTTCTCTGCTCCTGGGTTTGCTTGATTCTTCATCTGTTTGTAGATCATGTGCTGATTTAAAGGTCCTGGTATCCCTGTTCACAGAGATCTTGGTTCTAGCATTGGACTGCTGCCCTAGACATGATTTATAACAGCAGTGTCAGGACAGAGAACAGTAAAGCAGAGAATAACTGGGTCAAATGATTTTGCTGTCTTGCAGCCAACCCCCCTGCCACAAGAGAAGAAAACACCTCCACCTGTCAAACCCAAGTCTGGCTCAGCTTCCAGCTCTATCAGGGAGAAGCAGTTGCCTCTTCTGTCAATTTTCAGCCAGGAGAATACCTCACCAGTTTCCCAGGCCCCTCCTGCTCCCCCTCCTCCCCCACCACTGCCTTCGCCTCTCCTGCCTGAGAACCAAGGCTGGCAGGAATCCACAGGGAAGGGTGAGTATTGACTTCCCCCGACAGGGATTTGGTAGTGGGGGTGAAGGGGATGGGGTCAGAATCAGCCCAGTGGCCTGGGAGAGTCACAGCACATGTTCTGTCATTGGCCAACTGGGCAAAGACTGAGTGGGCTGGGTAAAATCAGAGAGGCTGTCATAGTTCCAGTATGGCCCAGCAATCAGCATGGCACTTCCCAGCTCTAAGTCTTCCCTTTCTTACCTTTGCAGTGCAGGATGTCAGGCACAAATGATGAAGGAGGGGCTGGGTTTCTCTGAAAAATGCAGCTGAAAACCGAAAGGACCTTTGGGCTACAGCTTTATCAAGATCCAGTCCACAATATATTTTATTACCTATCTGAAGCATAATTACTTTACCAAAGGTGCAATTCAGCTGATGGACTTTAGACCAGGGAGGAACAGGAAGCCAAGTGTTTTACCTTTTAGAGCCTCTGGAGGGTCCTTGGAGACAGGCTGAGAAATGAGGGAATGTTTCTCAGAGGGAGAATGAGAGCCTGGGAGACCTCGGACACTGGCCACGTAAGGAGTGTCTGGATGCTGCCCACCTGAAAAATGGCACAGCTAATGCTTCTCAGCAGGAGCTGGAAGTGTTATTCAGTCCTGAATTGCAGTTGGAGCCTGGAGCCATAATTCATTTTATACTTTGTTGCTCTTTTGGACACATGTATCAATGTATTTCAAGCTGTTTAAAACTCTCATCAGCATCACATTTTATAACATGCAAGGAACAGTCAGTCAAGCACATTACTACAGGACTCCATCCTGCATCAGGTTCCCTGGTATAAAAGAATGTCCCTGTTTCACTCCCCCTCTCTTTTAAAAAATGGATACTTAAGAAGTTCTGTGAAAGTAAATTGAAGTAACTGGATTAGCCTGAAAAATCCCTATGTGCTTTTGAATAGGAATATAGAAACAGCTGAGCTGTGAGATCTACTACATTTCTTGATTGGTTATGAACTATGAAGTTTTGAAAATTGAGAGTGTAGGTTGATGGTTGGACTTGACGATCCTTGAGGTCTCTTCCAACCTTAATGATTCTATGATTCTATGATATTCCTACCTTGTAAAGCAATGCCTTTGAATGGTTGTCTTCAGACTCAGCCTGTCTTGAACAGATCTTCTGCAGAGAGAAAAATCCAGTGCAAGTACTGAGTGCCTTGTCCTAGAACCTTGCAGTCTGCAAGCTCAGGGGAGAACTTTTATATCCTTTTGAAACCTTTATCAGCCTTTTTGTAATGACATAAAGTGAAACTGGAATGCTGTGTGCTCCCTATCTCTGGAGTGTTTGTTTGTGTTATGAGCACTGAACTCTGTGGCTAATACAGCAGGTATAAATGCTACCAGAAATGCTGGTACTCGCATGATGACTGTTTTGTGCACGCACTCACATTAGCTGGTCACTGACCTTCGGGAGCATTCCTTGCAGTAATCTTCAGTCAGGCATGTGGCACTGTACCCTTTCTCTTGGTAGATCTTTGGCTGGTGGGAAGGTGACCTTGTAGTCAGCAAAGCCCATCTTCACTGCTCTTTCTCCTCACCCAGGCTCTGCTGTCACAATAGCAGAAGATGATGGTATCAAGACCCAGCTGTACAAGCTCACCGCCAGTGTCAGCTTTTCCTATGTCAACCCTGCCTGGAAAATCTTTCTGCGCAAAGAGGTATAGTTCATTAGCTGAGGGCTGGCTATGGGGGGAGGGAACTGGTCCCACATTTGGTTAAAATAATTTTTTGCACCCAGTATGATATAAGAGCACAAAGATAGTTCCAGGAGGATGTCACATGACACAGGAGTCAGAGGGTCATCGCATAGGGGATCTGGGTCCTACTCTGCCCTTACTGACTCTGTTGTCTCAGATTCCCTGCCTGTCCTTTCCATCCTCTATAAAGCACTGAGAAATATACAAATAAATCTAGAGTAAATGTGTTGTTACCTGGTGCTTTCCTGTTAAAGTAGTACAAATGTGTTTAAAATCAAGTATTGGAGAGTGCACTGAACTGCCCAGGGTTCATCCCATGGTCTCACCACTTTAATTTTGGTCCTTCGTTCCTAGTCCTGTTTACATTCAGTGACTTTTCCCTGCCTGTCCTTGGAGATGGACTCACTCCTCTCTGGCAGGAGGGCATATGGATTACAAAACATCCCTGGGGAGCTATTTCTGCAACACTGGTAAACATCTGTAACCTTACTATTGTTTTTATCCTCCTCTTGCAGGTGTTTTACCCCAAAGAAAATTTCAGTCACCCTTATTGTCTGAACTTGCTCTGTGAACAGGTATGTACTGGTGCATGACTCCAGGCCTGTTGTCTCTCTGTTTGGGGACAAAATGCTCCATAATTATATTGCATAAGTTGCCTTCACTTCTGCATCCCTAGTGGTGTTAGTCTCTTTTCCAGGTCTATCCAGTACAGCCCTGCTCACTCTTCTCTGAAACTCAGTCTGTTTAACAACCTCAGATGCTCCAGTACACTCAGATGTGGCCTTTTCAGTGCAAGCCTCTTTGTTGCCTTCCTCTGCAGATCATGCGTGATACCTTCTCTGATTCCTGCCTTCGGATCTCCAGGGAGGAGAAGCGCAAGATGAAAGACCTGCTGGGTAATTAACAGCGCCGTCATCCCTTCCTCCCTGGGCCCATCCCAGCTTTTGGTTTGAAACGAGAAACCAGCCTCCAAGCCCTTTCAGGCGGGGCTTAGGGCAGAGGAGAAATGTTTGTCACTGCAGCAAGAAAGCACATTTATGTGTGCCGTGTAGTGCAGTATAGGAATGTTTGTTTATTCCAAATGGCCAGAAAACAGACCTGAAATTTATCTAAGCCAGAAAACCTTAGTTCTGATATGTTTAATGTGGCAAGAGGAAACTGAGGCCCAAGGATGGGATTTTCAGTGGTCTCAAAATCCAGCTATCATCTTTGACTTGACCTTCACGGAGAAGGGGAGAGAAACTAGTAGTAGACTGCTGTGTGTCAATAATGTGGTATCCTTTTGCCTCTGGATGTCGTTTGCTGCACCATAATCACTGAGGAGGATTGGTGGGAATGAGTCCCTGGGCAGAGGAAGACTTGGCCATCTTTGTCTGACTGAGACAGTATCTGCTTTGTATCTCTGCTAGTGGAGTTCCGGGTTGGCAATGATGTCCAGTCCATTCAGGAGGATGGGATAAAGAAGAGGATTGTACTGGCTGCTCGGGATAACTGGGCTAACTATTTTTCCCGCCTTTTTCCAGTTCATGTGAGTCTTCTCACCAGACCCTGGGCTGGCTTTAGCAGTGTGGTTCTAGTTCACCTGGGATCTCTTTGTGTCCTGGCTCTCTCTCCCTGCCTGGGCATATGTCACTCATTTTTCTGTGCCTTCTGTACCTTTCTCCCTACTTGCATATTTGCATCACTCTGATGCCCTAATCATTTCCCTGTTTGCACAGGCTGCCTGTTTGGCAGCTGTCACTTGAGTCCTTGTCCGCATAGTTCCCCCATTTGCCTCTCTGCACCCTCTCAGAGTCCTGCTCCTCTGTCTGCCTTTACTTGCTCTCTCCATTTTCTAAGCTTCTGTGAAAACATTGCAGGGTTTGACACCTCTGTCAGCTCAGGGCCTCCTTTGTGGTACATGTGGTAGCATCTTCTTCCTCTGCTGCATTCAGTCCAGGTGGAATGGAGCCTATGATGCTCTCTGCTGCTCTTCCCTTACAGGGTGAAAATGGAAGTGATGTCCAGATCCTTGGTGTTTCTCATCGTGGCATGCGGCTGCTGAAGGTGGTAAAAGCAGCTGGCTATAATCCTGAGCACCTGAAGATTCTTCGCAGCTTCAGGTGAGCAAAAGGGCACTGGTTGCTGCAGGATTATAATGTGTCACCTGCAGGATGCTTTCAGAGTGTAGGAGGCAGACCAAACAGGTGAGCTGAAAATGGTCTGGTTGTGCTGTGCTCTCTAGGACTGTCCTAGGCCAGTTGTGACCCTCTTTCTAATGAGTTTGGCCTTTCCCTTTCCTTGTGCTTTGCTTACAATAAGTGAGTGCTAGGTGTGAGTCAGCTCCATGCACGTCATCAGAAGGGAGGTCCTCAGAGTGGTACAGTGAAAGCTGTGAGCAGCCTGTGGTGCTGTCACTGTTGTAATAAGTGCTGGTGAAAGGCCACCCTCTAGAGGATACTGAGTCCATTCTCAGTCCTTGGAATGAGCTCCCATCCCCATGATCTGCATCCCTGGTTCTGGCAGAAGGAGCCTGAGCATCCTGGCTGTGTTCTCAGCTTTGCAGATGTGCTGTCAGTGGAACTGAAGGGCAGAAATGCCCTGGAGTTCTCTCTGAAGACAGAGCAGCTCCTCCTGCACTCTCCAAAGGCTCCGCGCATCAAGGCCATGGTGGAACTCTTCATCCAGGAGCTAAGACAGGTGAGGGAGTGGCTGTAGTGCAGCAGGGAATGAAGGTGGTTTCCCCCATGGACCTGAGAGGGTCCATAGGATGACATGGTCCGAGTCCCTCACATCCTGGGGATGAGAATTTGACCTCCCCATCGCTTTTTCCCCAGGATACCAACTATGTTGTTGCTCTGCGCAGCTACATCACGGATGACAAGAGCCTTCTTAGCTTCAAGAAGGGTGACCTCATTGAGTTACTGCCCATGCAAGGCGTGGAGCCAGGTGAGGGAGTTTGCTGAGACTGGCAGGAAAGGTGGGGACTGGGTTTAAGGGCCTGCTGCACCCATGGTGCCCAGAAGCTCTCCATGCTGCTGTTGAGTGTACCAGAGGAAGGCAGACTGTTACAGGCCGGTGTAGTCAGCCTTCAGCTCTGCCATTCTCTGACTGCAACCTACCTTGTTCCAGCTGCCATAGGTACAGGGAATATTATCTTAGGATGCAGGAAAGCCTGGTCAGTCTGATGCTCTACTTTGCCAGTAGGATGCCTCACTGCTTGTTTCTCTTGGTAGCTGCCATGATTCCCAACTCCTTCTCCCCTGTTTCTGCAGGCTGGCAGTTCGGCTCCACTGGTGGCCGCTGTGGTATTTTCCCCACCAGCCTGGTGCAATTGGCTGCAGCCCCTGATTACCTCAGCACCAGCATGGACAGACGTGAAGGGCTGCAGAAGAGCATGAAAGCTTCCCCAGAGAGCAGGAACAACAGCAAGGAGGTAAGTTGTCCTTGGGGAACTGCTAGGGTTCTGTGGGAGGTCCCAGGGTGGTTCCAGGGCCGTGCAGTGTCTGACCTCCAAGGGCAGAATGAAGATGATGGCTTAATGCTTGCAGAGAGAGACACTCAGATACTATCTGAGTGGTGGGAGGGGGAGGCACCATACACAGACGAGGCCTTCCCAGGTCTGGCAGGTGAGGAGAATACACACTGCAGTTCCTCAGCTGAATTTTCAGCTTGGGTTTGTTTCCTGTCCCTGCAGAGTTCTGTTCCCAGCCTGACATCAGAACCCAACAGCATCATGTTAGTCCCTGCTGGTGACCGTTATACTATGATAGACTTTGCCACAGCCTACTTCCGAGAGGCTCAGTCCATGTGAGTAGGCTGTGGTCCTTCCTGAACAGGCATACACAGCACCTGTGTAGCCTGACCCACACCAAGCCATTTCTGGTGATATTTCTTAGATTGCGTGTCCTCTCTCCTCTGTACAGGCACAAACTGAAGGGGATGTCTGCTGAAAACAAGAGTGTAGCTGACCTGGTCCAGCACACTAAGGTGAGCCAAGGTTCTCCCCATGGCAACAGCCAGAATTACAGCTCCAGCGTTGCCTCTGTCTTTGTCCACACATGGCAAAAGTGCAGAGGGCAGATCCTTGGCTGCAGTTTCTGAAGGAGTGTAGGTGCCCCCTACTCTTCAGTGCTACCTGCAAGATACTGGGAGCTTGTGTCTTTTGTGAAGCACACAGCACAATTCTGTGTGATCTGCCCCCCTGTCTTACCCTCGTATTCTGGCCCTGCAGGTCCCAATCCAGGCGTCTTTGCTCTTGTACTCTGACAGTGAGCTGAATGAGCTTGCTACAAAGAACTTCAAGAGTAAGTACCTCTCCCTAGGACACAATACAGCACAGGCTGGAGCTGGGGGTGAGTGGGACAGCCTTGATGGCCACACAGGCATCATGGGTCCCAGAGCAAGGAATGAAGACTGTGGGAGGAGGGCCTCTCCTCAGGCATTCCT